CATTTGCCATCCTGACTTAATGAGGTTGTTTCAAACTGTGCATGTCCCCAGACTCTTTGCTCCAGCACGGGCTAAGAAGAGAGATGGAGCAGTAGGGTTGTGTTCCTTTAAGGGCAGTGAGAGAAAATAGGACGCATTTTCCCTCCCTGGGTTTTCCCAGTGATGAGTGATGAGGATGTTCCATTGATCATTTCTGTTCCTCTGCATTCATAGGGCTCAGCTCTCTCCAAATAACACAGCCCTGGTGTTCTCCCTTTGGGAAGACACCACAGAGTGAGCAATAAGAACAAGCTCTGAGCTGTCTGCCAGTGGCAGGGATGGTCACCCTCTCCCTCTGATCTACTTAGAACTTAGTGACCTCAGTACAGTGGCTTATTGTAGATACCACTAAGATAATTAAGGATAAAAGCCAACCTCTATAACACCACCTTAGAGTTGTTTGCTATTCAAGTAGAGAATATGTTGGGGGAAAAATTAAGGAATGTATTAAGGAATCTTCTATGTCACAGAACATGTCAGAAATGGTGCTATAAGGCTGTGCTTCTGTTTTTGCACAGGGCTAATTTGCATGTTTGTTATGTCAAGAAAAAACAGAATATGATATTTAGAAGATATAGGTATTCAACATATTCAACATATTGATCTGTGTGTCTTTTATTATCTTTTTAAGTTTTGGATACCAGAGGGAAAAGTTAGCAGATGCGTTAGCATTGAGCTAGAAGGGACAAGAGAAGTATCTCTGTCTGGTGTCTCCTCAAAGGCACATGGGAACAAGGATAAATGGGTATTGCCAACTTGGTCACAAGCTAACAATTGGAATCAAAGATCTGTCTTTGTTCAAGACGAGCACACATAACTCATAATAATTCTGCATGGCTGCAATGCTCTGAAATTACCAGCCTGGCTCCTTGCTGCATCCTAATGGCAGGCATTTCAGAAATTGTTACTGAGGGTACCAGGCTGGGATAAGTTGTGGACATGAGGATAGAGCCTCCCCATTGAAGACGTGAAGTGGTTTGCAAACATTTTTACTTACAGAATTTCTAGGTTGCAATAAAAACCCACATCATTGTGTGAATTTTACTTCCATAAAAACAACAAAACACAAGGCTATGTCATTAGGACACTTGCTGCTGCCAAGTAACTGAACTTACTAAGAAGCTTATACCACAAGTTATTAGATCACATAATATGAAGACCAGAGGCAGGGAGGGGACCAGGAGCATTGTATCAGAGTTCAGCTCTGTATCTCTGCAACTTCTTACTCACACATTCCTCTTGTGCTGCCGTCATCAATAGACTAGTAGCTAGATGGTTATAGCTGGTCAAGGCATCTGGACAGTAACAGCGCTGAAAGGAAAAGGTCTCTACCTTGCAGCCCTTTGTTGGGATCAAGAAACCCTAGATGCCTCCCTGCAGGATCACCTTCATGCTTCATAGGCCAATGGCTCAAGGGCCAATTCTGACTGAGATGGGAACCTTGTAAGTAGGAGGCCACGTGTTTCAGTTATCCATTGTTGCATAACAAACTGCCTCGGCTTAACAGGATAACAGGCAGTTAACCATTGTTGCATAACAAACGGCTTAAAGAAACTGTTATTGGGGTGCCTGGGTGGTTCAGTGGGTTAGGTGTCCGACTTCGGCTCAGGTCATAATCTCCAGGTTCGAGGGTTTGAGCCGCACATCAGGCTCTGTGATGACAGCTCAGAGTCTGGAGCTGCTTCCAATTCTGTGTCTCCCTCTCTCTCTGCCCCTCCCCTGCTCATGCTCTCTCTCTCAAAAGTAAATAATAAACACATTTTTTAAAAAAGAAACTATTATTTTATTTGCTCACAATGCTATGAGTCAGGAATTTGGTTGGACCCAGTGGAGAAGATTCATTTCTATTCCATGATAACTGTTTCTTTGGACAATTGGATAAGACTGTTCAATCAGGGCTATATATCCGGGACCTAGAGTTTGGTTCTTGGCTGAGTTTCTTGGTTGTCCTCCATGTTGAGAGCTCATATGGTTAACTTGAGCTTCCTCACAGCAGGGTGATCTCAGAGTTCAAAGAGCATAGTTCCAGTGTGCAAGTGTTTAACAGACCTCTAGTTTATCACATTGCCCAATATCTCATTGGCCAAAGCAAGTTATCTGGCTGAGCCGAGAGTCAATATGGGAGGGAATATACAAGTGTAAATACTGACAGACATGGCTTACTGGGGCCATGAATACAACAGTTATCACATCAACAATCTGGTTCATCCTGAGTCCTATCCAGCCCTGATCCTGTGTCCCAGTTCTGATGATTGTGCTTCTGTTGTCTCCAGTGAATGTCTACCTTTAGCAGCTTTCTCTATACCCACAATCTAAGTCACAGGTAATCTATAAAAATACAGCAACACCTTTCTCCTCTGCACCTCAGAAATTTTTCCAGACTCTACCTCTTTCACTCCCCTTTGAACCTCTTCTCTCTCATCTGCTTATCCATCTTTTCTATCTATGAATGATACTATATCCACCCTCTCTTCCTAGCATCTTTCAAATGACAACTACTACATAGGACAAGCTGTTTGAGTCTGGGCTTCAACCCAGATTCTGCCTCTTAGACTATCTCCTTATTTACATGCACCAGAGTCTACTGGATGTGATGCTCATCCCAGGGTTCTGCCTGGGCTTCTGGGTCCAGCACTTTAGACTCTGCGTGGCTGAGGAAAGCACTCAGATGTCTGTGTTTGCCTCATGATCCTGAGCCCTTGACTTGGAATTTATTTCAGACCATGTTCCTCTAGGACTCAGCTACCCCTGTTCTCCCCACAGGAGAAGCCCATCCCAGATGTGGAGATTTTGCTGTTGGCTGAGACTTCTCCATGGTAAAAAGAGTTACCTATCTTTTAAGATGTCCAACATCCCCAGGTCCAGGGATCCCTTTATATACTGTCTGCCTGGGAGGACATGCCTGCTGCTTCATTATGAGCAGGACACTCAAACCAGCTTAAGCAGGAGATGGGGATTTATGGGCTCACATAAGGAAACCATGTGAAGGTGGAACCAGCTCCAGAAATAATGGATGCGAGGACTGGAGCATAGTCTGGACCTGCTTTCTAGTTCCACCTCTCACCGTGATGTCTCCAAATGTTGACTTCACTTTCACTTTCCAAAGACAGCTTTCTCTAATGTCAGGAACTGTGGCCATCAGGAGTCCTGGAGTCTCTACAACACTCAGAGTAACATTCTTTAGCTTTCTCTCAGAGCAGATGATTTTATGCCAAAGCTAGTTAGCAATAGAGACGAAAGACAGGTTTGTATCTTCTTTTAAAGTGTTTATTTTTACTTCTTTTCCCACCCTGTTATGACCTGTATATGGAAGGGAGACGAGAAGTAGGAGAATGGAGAATAAGCAGCTCAAGTCCATAGGTCTCTCTCGGGTCCTAGGAGTCCCCATGGCAACCAGGTGGGTCCAAGACCCATGAAGCTTCCCCTCCTTGGGGTGGCTAAGGAAAGGCTTTTACACACTTGGCTGGGTATATAAATCCAAAAACCCTTAGCCAAGATGAGTTTTAGAACTTCCCTGATTTTAGAAACACAATGTATAGAGTACATACCATGTATTATATATCACCCCCAGTGGGGTGTGAAGCCACATTCCATAATCAAACTCATTAACTGTTCTATGATAGAACGTATGAATATTCACACTTCTAGGATAAATGATGTTTATATGGATCCTCTTCTTAGGTTAGGTCAGCCTTTGCTACTAAATGCATAATGTAAAACCTTTTGGTTTTCAGAAATTGAGGATTTCAAAATAAGGGATAAGAGATTGTGGGTCTATAAGGAATGTGGAAAGTGATAACTAATACCTGGACTATTGGTTCCCAGTGTTAAAGACGATCTCTGATGGATCTTGAGTCTGTGATCAATTGAAATTGTGTCACGTGCTTATGCCTGTGTCCCACATCCCTATCCTACCACACCATGGCTCCACTATCAGGAACACCACAAAGCACCCCTTCCCCAATATTCCCTGCCTTACTGCTACCATCTGACAACAACCTACTTTCAAAAAAGAGGTGACACTTACAATGGATTGTCTGTCTCCTATCAGATCATCAGTGCCACCTCCATATGGCCCTACATTCCTGTTTCCCTAGATTGTCATAAGATGTCCACAATCTCAGGTCTCTCTTCTCCACCTGGCCTCTCATCCCCATAAAGTTCAAAATATCCCCTAATCAAACCCAATTTCCTATTCCTTCAAACTCTCTTACTGTTCCCTCTGAAACTTACAGTACACCATCAGCAAATTCTCTCAACTCTTAAGCACTGAATGTTTCCTTCTCCTTATTCTGGTGAAGGTATGCTCTTCCTGAGGACCCCTTCCCTCACCCCCATAGTCCTCTCAAGTCATAGATTTATCTCACCCCACTCATACCACTAAGCCTGAGAGCAGAAAATGTCCTTACTCCTCACTGCCATTTTCAGACTTTCATTTTTCCTGTATAAACACACACATACACATACACAACTTCTTTGAAACTTATGCCCCATACTACAGCATCTATTGCTCCTCCTTATTGGAGTCATTTAAAGGTCTTTGGGTTACTCCTCTTCATTTCCCTTTCTCTCCCTTTTACTGCCCCTACACAACTTGATGATTTTGCTACAGATGATAACTCCAGGACCTTTACTTCTCAATTTCTCGATCTCATCTCCACCTGCTTTGCCCACCCAACCTCTACTTACCCTCACGTTATTCTTGTCATTACCATTTACTGAACCCTTCCATAATCTGTATTTTGAATATCCCATTCTCCAAACACAGTCTCTCAAGCTTCTTCCCTCTGTACTGCAATTGTACTGATTTTTAGACCACATTGAGATCTCTAACCCTGCCATCATTTGACTGTCCAGTTGTACCCCAACTTCCTTCATTAGATTTCATGCTCTATTATCATAAACATTCCTTCACAGATATAATCAACTCATTTGCTCCATTCTTCTTCTGTCATACTCACCTGGCAGAAAACTCAGTCCTGGTTAAATCCAACTTTCTGCCTGCTCCATACCCGCAGAGCTGAAAGTGGTCAGAGAAAAGGCATAAAACTAGGATGACTTGTCTCTGTTTAGTCACTCCAGTGAGCCTATAGTGCCATTTGTCACTCCTACCACATTCCTTAGTCAGCTCACTCCCACTCAATGGTGAGTAATTCACACCTTCTTTTCTCTTCTCAACTTGCCCACCCTCTTCCCATTCCTACTCTAAGCTGAAGACCTTGCCTGTTATTTCATGGAGAAAATAGAAATAATCAAGAGAGAACTTTCATATGCCTCCATATGGTTTTCTCACCCTCTTAGACTCATACTTTTTTTTTTTTTATTATTCTATGTGATCTTTCATTTCAACTTTTCTCTGGGTGTTTAGTTCAATCTCTTCCTTCTGAAGATCATCATTCCCATCTCACTTTTTCACTACCGTGAATTCCACTATAGCCACCTCAAATAGGTAATGGTAACTTCCAAGACCACCTGACTCCCAGTAGGAAAACCTGATTAGTCCAGCTTGGGTCAAGTGTGGATCAAGTGCACCTCCAGTCCAATCAGCTGTGGCCATGGAAGAGGAGTTACATTGCACATGAGACTCTTAGAAAGAGACCTTGCTCTGAAAAGATGGTGTCAGGCAATTAAAAATAAAGGACGGGGAAGAAAAAGGGAGAAGAAAATATAGGGCAGCAAATAGCCAAAAACAAAACAGAAAACCACTCCAAAATTCTGTCTTCCACCGAAAAAAAATATGAATATAAGGCATTTAACAATTTAAAGAACATGGCTTTGTAGAAACTACTGAGGAGAAAGGGAGCATTACAAGAAAAATCTGAGGAAAGCATAAGTATAATGAAATACATATTTTTTCTGCATCTCATAGACTGTAAGAGTTCCAGAGCCCATAACTGTCCCTACCGATATTTATAATATAGTATGTAACCTGGTACCTAGCATCCAGTATTTGTTGGATTTAATAGAATCCTCTAGAAAATAATGTGGGGGAGGGGGGTGAGAAATGACAGAATCATGAGCCCTGCAATTCTCCTCATCTATTGACAGCCAGAATTCAAGTTTTCCTGGAGAGGTGAATTTTTCTCTAGCACTGAGTACTGTAAGGAATTATGATGATAAATCTTTATTTGGGCGACATTTGGTCACATAATGGACAATGGCTTCATCTAAAGCTTTGCAAAAGATTTAGAAGTGCCCTTCAACTGTCTGTTTCTTATTATCCTTCTCTAAAAGCCAAGGGCATAACGCTACATCATAACTTCGGGATGGCATTTCCATGGAGAGATGAGATAATGTGGTGAAGTGGGCTGCTTTCTGACCAAAGGCAGGAAGAAAGCTGAGAAAACCTGGATATGTGGTACTGAGCTATGGGTGGAGGACCGGGAGACAGAGAGATAAATCAGAATCATCTGGGAGAATTTTTCAAAATGTAAATCTTCCTCCCCTGCCCCCAAACACTGTGATTCTAATATTGCCTGGGTCCCTGCAAGTAGGGGTAGGGAAAGATCAGAAAGAACACTGGCATATATATTTTGAAAAACACAGCTCCCTTTCCCCACTTCTCCCCCTCCTTTTCCGCTCACTGTCTTGAATACCAATGACCTAGACTGATGCATTTGTATTTGATACGTCTTTCTCAAATATCAGTATACATTTTATGTATGCATATATGTACATATTTATATGCCATCTCATTCCAGAAAGGATGGCAGATGGCTTACAAAGCTACATAAAATACAAAAAAGGAGCACAAAAAATAGAAACAAAATACCAAAGAGAAAAAAAGTTGGAAATTTAAATGTGAGTAGCCCTAAGTGCATTTTTGCAAAATTCAGTTGGCTTCGACTCAAGAGAGGCTGAGCTCACTGAAAGGAGACACAGAGCTGAATGCAAGCTGGGTATTCAGGGAGCACATAAGACTTAGGCACCAGAGAAACCGACCATCTGTCACCTGACTCTTGAGTTCTTACAAAATGGAAGCAAACTTACCTGAAAGAGAGGTGGGCAGCAGGAGTCCCATTTTGTAAAACTAGGGGTGTTTCAGGGCCCCCATTAGAAAGCCTGGCAAAGATAAAAGTTAGAATTTAAGGAGTTAGCAGACAAGGTTAAGGATTATTATTATTACTTGGTCTTCTTATTATCTCTCCTACCCAGAGAGATGCCTCAGATTGAGACATCTGGAATCCAGCCTTTATTTATTTATTTATTTATTTATTTATTTATTTATTTATTTATTTATTTATTTTCAAGTTAGTTAACATTTAGTGTAGTATTGGTTTTAGGAGTAGAATTTAGTGCTTCATCATTTACATATAACACCCACTGCTCATCCCAACAAATGCACATCACCCATTTAGCCCATCCCACCACCAACCTTCCCTCCAGCAACCCTCAGCTGCTTTTCTATATTTAAGAGTCTCTTATGGTTTGCCTCCCTCCCTGTTTTCATCTTATTTTATTTTTCCTTCCCTTCCCCTGTGTTCATCTGTTTTGTTTCTTAAATTCCATATATGAGTGAAATCATGTATTTGTCTTTCTCTGATTGACTTATTTCACTTAGCATAATATACTCTACTTCCATCCCCATTGCCACAAATGGCAAGATTTCATTCTTTTTGACTGCCGAGTAATATTCCAGTGTGTGTGTGTGTGTGTGTGTGTGTGTGTGTGTGTGTACACATAAATGCATACATACCACATCTTCTTTATCCATTCATCAGTCAATGGACATTTGGGCTCTTTCCATAGTTTGGCTATTGTTGATAGTGCTGCTATAACTCAGATTCCATCCTGACCAGTCACTGAATTACAAATTAGATGTCTATGTCTTCCTAATCCAGGTTCTATTTGATTGATATTGCTTATTACATAAAACAAATGTATACCTGGAACATGACCAGGCATTTATGTGAGATCCCATGATAGGACTGAAAATATTGATATACATGCAGACTGTTAGGGCTGGGAAGGCATTTAAGTGAAGGAAGGCAGAGTATCAATTAATTTCATCCCTGGATAATAATGATTATACCTAATATTACTCATGACTTGTTTAGTGCTGAATAAAATAAACCAATCATGTATATGTCTTAATACTCTGGGAAGAGTACATTCTGGTTTGCTCTATGATTTCAAATCCTTCATGTAGTTATCATAAGGAATTGTATATAGGTATTAAAGATATAATTTACTGATTATACAAGTTTCAGGATATATAGGGACAAATTAACAAGGTAAAGCAAATACTTAAGAGTATTTATGTAAAAGGATGAGAAGAAATTTTTCTCTCATGGTTAGGTCTAATGATAAGAATAGATACTAAGTATTTACTAAATGCCTGCTATATACCAAGCTCTTTACAGTGTCTCTAATCCTTACAACTTCCATGAAGCCATACCCCATTCAAAGAGGAAGAAATTGGAATCCAAGTTACATTTCTTACAAAAAAGGAAGAAATAGGAATAGAATCCAAGTGACAATAGCATCTTTCCCAATTATGTCATCAATTCACCTCAATACTGAAGGTTAATGATGCAAAGATAAACTAATTAAGAGAAAAATGAGCTGCCTTGTTAGTTTGGAGAGGTGCCTTACTAATCTCCTTGGGACCCAGTAGAATGTATGTCATGATATAAATGTTGACCAATGAGGTCATTAAATTATGTTGATTCTCTCTCCTAAATTCCTCCTCCACTCCTTCTCCACCCTGCCTTAGTTCAGCTGGAAGAAATGTAAACTTGAACCAGGCAAAATTTACTGGTAAGGGCTCTCTAATGGTTAATTTTATGGGTTAACTTGACTGGGCCACAAGGTGCCAAGATACTTGGTCAAAAATTATCCTGTGATGATGTTTCTGGATAAGATTATCGTTTAAGTCCATAGACTGAGTAAATCAGACCTCCCTTCCTAATGTAAGTGTACCTCCTCTAATCAGTTGAAGGAATGAATAGATCAGAAGAGCTAAGCTTACCCTCAGTGGGGGAGAGTTCTCCTCCCGGAGAGCCTTCAAGTGAAAATATCAACTTTTTCCTGTCTTCATACTTGAAATGACACCTCAATTCTTCTGGGTATCAAGCCTGCCCACCTTCAGACTGGGACAAAACCATCACCTCTCCTGGGTCTCCAACTTGCCAATTCACCTTACAGATCTTGGGGACTGGCTAACCTTCATAACTGCATGAGCCAGTTCCTTATAATAACTGTGTGTGTGTGTGTGTGTGTGTGTGTGTGTGTGTGTGTGCATGCACATGCACACACACACACATCTCATTGGTTCTCTTGAGAACTCTAATACAGGCTCAATGAGCAGAGAATCGATATCTGATGATTTAGCTCAAGGAGATGGGAATATGGGAATAGGTATTAACATTTTGCTTGGTTGGTTAACAGAAATATGCATCCAAAGGTGGTCTCCAATAAATGATGAAATGCTATAATATCCTTGGTGTATTGTACAGGAAGGTATTCAAGGGCCCAAGGAGATTAGAATGCTAGAATGGATTAATCGCATAAGACCTCCTCATCCATTCTGGAAGGACCCAGAGGACACACCCTTCGCTAAGTCTGTAATAATCATGAAGGGACCTTCTCCCCCAGCATCCTTAAAAGAGTTAGTGGCTGCCATTCTCTGTAGGTCAGATATTAAAGTGTGAATTGTGATTCCTAAACGCATTGGGGATTATAGGATTCTGTGGGGCCAAGTGACAGAAGAGTCAACACAGTAATCAAAATAGTCTGGCTCACAAGCTCTTTGGTATTGACTGGTTGATCATGCTGTCCTTAATACTAAAATAGGGAGTCTATTAAAGTCTTATTTTAACTTCATAGGCAGAAAAACTCTACGTCTAGTGAACAGAAATCTGGTTTAAGTCACCAAACTATACAGTCTATGGAGTCTACAGCCTCTCAATCAATTCCCAGGCTTGAGCCAGTTTACCAACACAGAGTCTGTGGGCCCTTAAAGAAAAGGTCTACTACACTGTTTATGTTGTTTACCTCCCTCCCTGCTTTCTCCAAAAGGATCTGTGACTATTTACCAGGGTGGCTACGCATTAAG